CAACTTTAAGGCTTGTGGACTTCAACTCCCAGAATTCCTCAGCCAGCTTTGCTGGCTGAGGAATTCTGGGAGTTGAAGTCCACAAGCCTTAAAAGTTGTCACGGTTTGGAGACCCATGCTCTAGTTGCTTTTTCCGAGTTCCCGCACCCTAGCGCTGTTAAGACTGCAGGTCCCATCATCCTCAACCAGTTGACTGTCACTTGTAGTTCAGTGAAAAGCCTCGAGATTCAGCACGAGGGAGTGGAGGCAATAGATAGATGGAAGATAGAATTCTTTCTTGGCTAAGTGTGATTGGACACACAAGGAATTTGTCTTTGGTGCACATGCTCTCAGTGTACATCAGGAAAAAATAAAATAAAATACATTCATCAAGAATCATAAGATACAACACTTAATGATATTCATAGCAATAGCACTTAGACTTATATATCACTTTACAGCCCTCTCTAAGCAGTTTACAGAGCCAGCATTTTGCCCCCAACAATTTGGGTCCTCATCTGACCCACCTCGGAAAGATGAAAGGCTGAGTCAGCCTTGAGCCTGGTGGGATTTGAACTGCCAAGCTGCAGGTAGCCGGCAGTCAGCAGAATTAGTCTGCGGTAGTTGCACTCTAACCACTGCGCCACCGAGACTCATAGGTGGCTAATAAGGTTATTAATAATTATATAATTAATAATAATAATATAGGTTACTAATAAGTAATCAAATCATACTAGGAAACAAAAATATAAATTGTAAAGATAATAGAATTGTTAAGATGATACGGTAAAATTGTTAAGATAATATTGTAACTATTGTAAATAGAATTGTAAAGATAATAAATTGTTAAGACTAAATAGAAACAAGGCCAAATAGGGGTTGTGTGATTACAGGAAGAAAAAATGTGTAGCTGTTCTATGATATCTTCATTTAATCCAGAGTGTGGGCAAACAATGGTTTTTTGAATGTTATAACTCCATTGTTATTCTCCATGGTGGCTGTGGCCACTGTGAAACTGAAAGAAGGTATATGGAAAGCATTGCATCCAAAAAGTAGACTTTTTCTATTTAAGTTGATAAAGCAATAATGACTTCTTTGAAGGAGTGGAGTGGGGTTGTGCTTTATTGTGTGTATGTTATGGAAAATAATTTTCTTTTCTGTTTTTAGCCATCCAGTCCAGAAAAAGAAATAGAGAGGGACATCTTCCTGTATCGTGCGTACATTGCACAGGTAGGCCACGCTCCTCAAATGATTTGAGAAAGTGCAAAAAAGGGCAGGTGCCAAGTTTATGTAGTCTTCTATACGTGTGCCTTGAACTGAAATGTGCAGTTTTGTGTTTTTGTGTGGATTGTTTTTTCCATTCAGTTTCAAACAATTTAACCACATGAATTGTGATTAATAGCAACACTACCTTAAATCTTACATTTTAATGAAAGCAGCCTCCCTTGATTACTAACTATTCATCCAGATTCTAGATGCTTCCCCCTGGATTCTTCCCCCTGGAGAATCTGTTGTTCTCTAGCTATTTGACTACAGTTTCCATCGGCCCCAGGAAACTTCTCCAATCTGTTTTACAGATCCGTTTAAACTGGGTCCTAGGATGGATGTTCACAGGGTATGATATATAAAGTCAAGATGTTGAGGCAAAGATTCTATTGACTCTTCAGAGCTCCCATGTTGACTTTTTTTTTTAACCATACCTGGCAGATGCCCCTAGACCTAGGAATTTATAGTTACAGTCAGGGGTGGGATTCAACTGGTGTAAGAACCAATTTGGCTGAGCGTGCACTTTGCGCATGTGTGTGCCCAACGTGCACTTTGCGCGCGCGTGGAGCATTTGCAACTCACCTTCTGCAAGCCCTGTGTGTAAAACAGCTGATACATGACAATCAGCTGTGCCCCACGAAGCAGCTGAGCTGGAAAACCCAGAAATAAAGCACAGAGTAAAGCCGAGATGATAGGGCGAGTGGGCCCAACAGCTGATAGTCGCAGTGAACCAGTTGGTTCCGAGGTGATTTTCGGAGCTACCAGTTCACCCGAACCAGTAGAATCCCACCCCCTGGTTACAGTATTTGGATATGGACCAGAAAACTATTCTGGGGTTGAGGTGGGGTTTACATGGCTGTAATTGATACAGATACAGATAACAGAGTTGGAAGGGACCTTGTAGGTCATCTAGTCCAACCCCCTGCCCAAGCGGGAGACCCTACATCATTTCTGACAGATGAGAGTCCAATCTCTTCTTGAAAGCCTCCAGTGATGATGCTCCCACAGCTTTCGAAGGCAACTTCTGTTC